TCCAATCAAAGACATACACATATTAAGCAGCGGCAGAGTCTTTTTACTAACTAAGGCATATATTTATTTAAATGCACAATATGCATTAGTTGTAATGATATTATTTCCCTTGAATAGTATAAATTTCTCTTTAATATTATATTAGGTGAAATAAATTACTAGCATGATATAAACGGAACCGCGGCCCTTGTTGTAGGGAGGTCCACTCTTCGAAAAAAGTTCCTCGTTCTCTACCCTGCTACTCTTCATACCACATCGCCTGCAAGGTTCAAGAGGACCATGATAACCACCCAATTTCCCGTCAGTTTTCAGCCCAGGCATGGATGCCTAAGATAGGCGAGAAGGTACGTTAGGCAGCTATAAATTCCCCAATCAATGCTGGATACGTGGCTCGGCGTAGGCCTGTGGTTCAGTGCCAATAACAGCGCAGGGGGAAGCCTAAAAAGGGCTGTGCCCTTGGATATATCTTACCCCGCTCTGGTATTTATACCAAGCCGCTTCCTTAGAAGATAAGTGGCTAAATTGTAATCTCCTGCTCTTGGCCTCTCTAATCTACAACTTGGTACTGCAAGTATATGCTGGACTGTCAAAATATACTATGGCGACAACTAAAACGACCTACCGCGTCCAGGGTATTCCTGCTAATGCCTCACCTGATGACATCAAAACAATAATTTCGAAGGCTTTGGGCGAAGATGGAATCAAGGCTGATCCTACTATCCATTCACTTGGATCAAACCCCTACAAGCCACCCAATACCAGTACGAAAGTTGCCACAGTTACCTTTGCGCATACGCCGGAAAACCTCGATAGACGCGGCGAACTGACTGCCGATGTGCCATGGGACAACAAGATACACCACATCTCTGTGGATTCTTCGTTCCAGGGCTTTACGCCTTTGAATGATACGGAAGACGAAATTGGGGATATGATAGAGTGAGATTTATCAGCGACTAAAATGTGCTCTTTGCTTACGGATACAGCGTTATTGCAATCAGCGGACTTAGCAGTCATCCTTTTGGTTCTTGGAAAGCAAGAGGGGGCAAATTTATGTGGCTGAGAGATGAGGTTGCAAAAACGGCTAATAGGGCTCGTGTTCTACTTTATGGATACAATACATCGCTTGTTAACAGCGAATCGTTCCAAGACATTGGCGATATTGCCAAGCGGCTGAGCTCCGATGTCAATGCGATACGGGGTGGGCGGCCAGTGAGTATAAGTTATCCAAAAGACAGACCAAAAGCTTACTCATTCCCAGGGCCAAGACGTATTTATGCCGACCCCAATCGTTTTCATCGCTCATAGTCTCGGAGGACTGGTTGTCAAGGAGGTTAGTGGATTCTCATTCCTCTTTATTATTCAATGTCTAATGTCACATGGCGACGTAGGCTATATATAAGATGTCTGAGCAGTATCCCGATGATTTTCTGAGCATATACGGTTTATTACTCTTTGGGGTTCCCAATGGCGGTATCAAGACGCAGTACTGGATGCCGATTGTGGATAGAAATCCGAACAGGGGCCTTATAACCAGCCTCGAGCCCGATGCCTACTATTTAAGAAGTTTGCAAGATAATTTCAACCGGGTATTTTGTTTTCCCGATGCAAGGGTAACATCTGTCTATGAGACAATGAAGAGTGCAACTACCAAGGTTAGTAGAAAGGCTAAGTTTTCATTTCATATAGCTGATGCGTTTAAATAGGAAGAGTTAACTGGTGAATGGAAACTTACCGGGCCTTCAGATATCTTAGTATCTCGCGATTCGGCAATAGGACATTACTCTGATCGGGTACAACATGAAAATGTCGGCTTTAATCAGAATCATTCCGATCTACCAAAGTTTAAAAGTAAATACGATGCAAATTATAGCGCAGTTGAGCCCTTCTTTACCCATTGTTACAATGACGCATTCGAAGTAATACAGAAGAGATTCATTAATGAAGGTTTGAGTCACCATCTTTGTTCGCATATAATTAACAATAATCACTGCTAACTAGTTGTCTTCAGCTACTCGGCCAGAATACAACGTAAATTCAACAGGCAGATGCCGCTTAACATGTCAAAACTGTCAAAAAGAATACAAGTCACAAATCAAGCTTCTACATCATTTGAAAGGGGACGGAAATGATGCTTGTTACTTGAAAGCGGTTCAAGTTGCCATTATAAGTGGTCGACTGAGCACTGCATCTATGTTGCTCACCGCAGATAAAAGAATTGAGATGAAAAATGAACGCACTGGTGCCGCGCTCCTTCACGATGCAGCACAGATTGGACGGCTAGAAGTGGTTAAACTGCTTCTTGACCGAGGAGCTAGTGTTGAAGCAAAGAACAATGACGGATCCACGCCACTTCACGATGCAGCACAGAATGGACGGCTAGATGTGGCTAAATTGTTGCTTGACCGAGGAGCTAGTGTTAAAGCAGAGAACAAAGACGGGTCAACGCCACTTCACGATGCAGCACAGAATGGACAGCTAGATGTGGCTGAATTGCTGCTTGACCGAGGAGCTAATATTGAAGCAAAGAATAATGACAGCCATACACCTTTTTCTCTTGCAGCACAGAATGGACGGCTAGATGTGGTCAAATTGCTGCTTGGCCGAGGAGCCAATATTAAAGCGAACGATAATGGCCAAACATCACTTGGCTTTGCTTCACAGAATGGAAAAGCAGACGTGGATGAAATCCAGCCACCCCAGTCACCTCCAATATCCCAAGCAGTTCGGACGTACAGCCAGGCTGACATGGAGATGGGCTTCTCGGTTACGTGGGAAGTAGGAGAGGACGTATGGAGGAAAACAACACCAGATTTCCAAGAAGCAACGGGAATCACGCAATTCAAGCTCTACAGGTGCGATGGCTGGGTCTACGAGTATACATTGGAATTCACCAGTATCAAGAACTACGACTACT